AATGTACCCTCCAATTGGTCGAGACCAAAGAGAATATTCTCATTACTCAAAGGCCAAGCTCTTAAGACACAGAACAAAACAAAAGGAAAGTATTAACAGATCTAAGCCGTGGGTCTCATGGAGCCAAACTAATTCCTAGGAAGTATTTGCTGTGGGGTCGGGGACTGTGGGTTGTTTTAGAGTGTACTTCCGTGCACAGGAGTTTTCTTTTTCCTTTTTCCTTTTTTTTTTTTTTTTGATGTTTATTTACTTATTTTTGAGAGAGAGAACTCAAAGTGGTAGAAGGCAGAGAGAGAGAGGGAGAGAGAATCTCAAGCAGGCTGTGCCCTGTCAGCACAGAGCCAGATGCAGGGCTCGAACCCACAAGCCGTGAGATCATGACCTGAGCTGAAATCAAGAGGTGGACGCTTAACCGACTGAAACCCACAGGCGCCCCTGCACAGACGTTTTCTCGAGCTGGTGTACCTACTATCCATATAGCCATTCCCAAGAGCAACTCACCTTACCGCGGGAGTTTTCTTGAGCCGGCCAGCCCTCTAACAGCTTCTAAGTGTTCAATCCATCCTCACCAATTCTGGGGTGAGGGCTTCCAAGAAGTCCCTTAGCAACGAATGACAAGCAACGTAAAAGACACAGACAAACGAAAACAAAGCCCATCTCTGGGAGGAAATGGATCGGTTACCAAAGGGGACCCGGCCAAATCAACCAAAGAGCCCTTTAGCCCAAAGAACTAGTTCCACAAATATTCTCTCCTGCTAATCTAAATGTCAAAAGAGAGAAAAAGGACGCTCACCACTCTTGCTCCATCAGACTCCACAGACAGAGACTCCAAGAGGCTGACGTGGTAAGAAATGTGACCTTCCAGCTACATGTCGGACGACCCAAGGATCTCTAAGCTGCTGCAGTGTCTAGGATAAACAGTGTCCAGTGAGTTAAAGTACCCTGCAGACTATGCCAGCCTTTGGGGAGCATGAATTTCTGTCTGTCCCTTCAAAGCTCCTTCTACACAAGTTAGCATGAAAAGATTTACAGGAGAAAACCAAATTTATAGTATACATACAGGGAATCCACAAATACACGAAAATGCCAAAGATAGGCTAAATGAGGTCAATAAATCATTCTCGACTAGGGGGCAGGGGTAGGGGGTTGAGATTACAGAGGAAGGGAACGCACTTCATAAGGCAATGAGAACAGATGTTTGGTCATTAGATGTTTGCACTTTCATTCACATGGGATGGGGCTTCAGAGCTGACAACCAAGAAAGGATTCTTGAGATGTTGTTGGCGCAAAAAAAGGTGACTTTATTAAAGCACAGAGACAGGACCCATGGACTGGGATTGTGAGTGACTGGTTATACACTATGGAGTAGCAGGAGTGAAGGCAAAAGGGAGGCCTCCAGAAAGACTTGCATATGCTAAACAGGACTCCTAGTAGATGCCAGGGGCCTTGCTACTGCCAAGCTAGGGTTGTTTTCCCACTAGTAACACCTTAACATTAGGACACTAGGGGGTTCCTGGAGAAACGTTATGCTCTATAATTGCCTCAAATATTTGTCAATGGGCTGCAGGTTATAAGGAAATTTAATGTTACCTGCCCTCTCCTTTAAAAAAATTTTTTTTAATGTTTATTTATTTTTGAAGGAGAGAGACAGACAGAGTGTGACTGGGGGAGGGGCAGAGAGAGAGAGACACAGAACATGAAGCAGGCTCCAGCTGAGCTGTCAGCACAGAGCCCGACGCGGGGCTCGAACTCACCAACCCGCGAGATCATGACATGAGCTGAATTCAGCCGCTTGACCCCCTGAGCCACCCAGGGGACACTACTGGCCCTTTCTTTCTTGCCTTTGTTCCCACATCACTATGGAGGGGACCGTGATGTTGGGGCTCCAGGAAACTGAATCTAAAGGTTTCTGGAGATTAGACTATTGATAAGATTGCCCTTGTAATTTACCAAGATATTTGTAAACTGATGAAAATTCATGTCCTGCAAGACTGATCTCTATCAGTTAACCATTTGTTTTCTTTCTGTTCATTTGTTATTAAGTAGCCAGGAGAGCCTGAGGAGTATCACTCCTATCCTGTGGAGGGGGGCCTGTGCTACCTTGTGTTCTGCCCTCGGCTTGCCTCATGCTCCCTCATCAGATGGATCACTCAGAAAAATCTTATCTCTATTAATAACACTTATTTTGGGAAAGACTCTACTCCCAATTTAGATTTATCTGTATGGTTAAGAGAGGGAGGAAAGTTTCTCTTGAACCTGCAGAGTCTCAAGAGTCTTCAGCTAAAAATAACCCACATGCCAGACAGGCAAGGTAGAGGGGTGTGGCCAGGCCTAACCCGAAACACTATAAAATAATCAGCACTTCTTACACAAGATTGCTTTCCTGGCATTCCAAAACAAAAGAACAGGCCTTCTAATATCCAAAATTAATCAACAAATTAATCTACATTGCTACACACTAATCATAACTTGTTCTAAAATGGTTTAACGGGACTAAAGCGGCCAGGAAGAACAGGGGAAAATTTCTCTCCGGATATGACCAATAGGAGAATAGAGCTCGAACCAATCAGGCCACACGACAAACCCACCAATCAGAAGTCTCAAAATGAATCCTACATTTGCATAAAGCTGCCTACAAATAAGCAGGATCCTGGCGCCCACCCCATTTTTTCTCCTTTCGGAAGACGACAAATTTGAAATGCCTGAGCCAGCGAAGTCCGCCCCGGCCCCGAAGAAGGGCTC